ATTCTAGTGTTCTAGTGTTTTAGCATTCTAGTGTTTTAATAATGGATATACTAGTGTATAAGTCATGTTCTTGATATACATATAAATAATAACTATAAATGCATCAAAAAAGTAACTTTAAATATATTTCCTAATATGGTAATAACCTGATTTGTGTTTTAGTGTTCTAGTGTTTAGTGTTTTAGTGTTCTAGTGCTTTAGCGTTCTGGTATTTGTGTTTATGTTTTAGTGGTTGTGTTCTAGTGTTCTAGTGTTTTAGTGTTCTAGTATTTTAGCATTTTAGTATTTAGCGTTCTAGTGTTCTAATATATAAAATATGTTGAAGTTATATTTTTGATGCATTTATAGGTATTATTTTATAAGTACATCAAGAACATAAGTTATGCACTATGTATATCTACCATATTAGAACACTAGAACGCTAAAACACTAGAATACTAAAACACTAAAACACTAGAATACTAAAATACTAGAACACTAAACACTAGAACACTAAACACTAGAACACTAAAATACAAACACTAGAATGCTAAAACGCTAAAACACTAAAACACTAAAGCACTAGAACACTAGAATACTATAACACTAAAACACAAACATTAAAACACAAACACACAAATCGGGTTTATTACCATATTAGGAAATATGTTAAAGCTACTTTTTTAATGCATTTATAGTTATTATTTTATATGTTCATCAAGAAAGTAATTTATGCATGATGTAGATCTACCAAACTACAACACTAGAACGCTAAAACACTAAAACACTAGAACACTAAAACACTAAATCACTAAATCACTAAATCACAAAACATGTCACTTTGTGTACTTATGGTACACCGTAATAATCAATTATACAGGGGTAATTATAATAATAGGGATGGTAATAATAATACATTATAAGAAAGGATATCTATACTAATAAAAAATAATATATATATGGAAATAATAATAAAGGATTAAAAATATGTAAATATTGGGGCACAGAATATTATAGCGGTAACACCGGACCATTGAGAATCCAAATAAATATTTGGATTATGTGCCTGTATTTCTTTTTGAAGTAATTTGCACACATGGATTTTTAAAAAATACCAATTTGTATGCTCACTATATCCAACTTAATAACAACCTTACTTATTGTTATCATTACTATGGTATGTACTAGACAAATGGAATCCATTTTAAGTCCGAAAGAAAAACTAACATCGACAAAATAGCTATTTTCGGAATATAATAATTGTTTTGATCTGATCAACCAATTAAAATTCGTAATTTGCAGACACACAGACATCGAGTACTCTGTGCCTCTATAGTAATGTCCTTCAGACAATAAATATGTATAGAAAAAGCAGACAGCATTTTTTTCTTGATTCTTTAAAATTTTATTGAAAAATATGTTATTTATACGGTTCTTGTAACAAATTTGAAGTTTCGCTTCAAAAAAATTTATAATAACTACATCCCTTCTACTTTTTTATATATCTGGTGTTTATGCAGATAATTACAATACCTTACTTGATATTTTAAATTTTTTCTTTAATAATTTTTTTACTTTTGCACTAACTGCAATAGTAATAGGCACTAAAATACAATATGTGGCATATTCTGTTAATATTGTTATAATTCTATGTTGCATTATTGGACCTATTATTGTAGCTCATAGTAATTCTTTTGAACTATTTATACTTATTTTACATTATTTGCTGCAGTTATTCTACATTATATTTTGGATCGAGGATTTAAGAATCTAGACTTAATCATACCAATTGAAGAAAATGAAAACCTTGAATTTGAACAAACTTATAAACAAATTTATCACAATACTAAAAAAAATATTTCTTTTATTATAATCTTCATAATCTTTTATTTATAATTAGTGATACTTGGTTTGTAATTATAGTTATTAAAGATATCCCTATATTTTGGTTTATTCCTGTTGCACTTTTTATCCTAAATATCCTTTTTTTGTTTATTCAAAATATAACTCATAAATGCGTATATAACATAGGTGGTGTAATATGTCGTGTATATATTTTAGCATATATGGGAGCATTTTATGCTAAAAACAAATATCAAGTAGAATTTGAAATAACTTGCAGGATATATGCACTTATACAAATACTGAGTTATTTGACACAAGAACATGTTCAAGTTATTCAAGTATAGATAATTTAAAAGTGATTAAAAGCGAAGCAAGGCTTTTAAAGTATGAAATTAAAATTAAAATACTGACAGATGAAAATAACGACAAGGAATCAAATATTGATGAAAATAACGACAAGGAATCAAATATTGATGAAAATAACAACAAGAAATCAAATATTGATGAAAATAGTGACAAGAAATCAAATATTGATGAAAATAACAACAAGGAATCAAATATTGATGAAAATAATACAAGGAATCAAATATTGATGAATTAAAAAAAGAAGTTGCTCAAATTGAAAAACAAATACAAAATATCAATATTTTACATATGCAAGGTTTATTGTTTAGTTATTTAAACAATGTGCTCTTATTAGAAAAAATTGAAAAAGTTTTAAAAAAAATCAGTAAAACTGAAGCTAAAATTAAAAAACTCAAGCCCTATATAGGATTAATGTTTTCTTTGTTTGTGCTGCATAAACATTTAATTAATTTGGATAAAAAAATCAAAAAATAGAACACACAACCCTAACTTAGGCTGAACACTTAATCATATGATGTGATGATCCCGAAAATATTACTGGGTTTCTTGTTTTTGAAACTATCCCAAAAAATAATAATTTGAAACTTTAATTTAAAATTTTGATATATTTACTTTTTTATTATCATTTTAAAAAATCTTAAATTTCAAAGTTTAAATTTAGAAATTGTTTCAAGTTCTAACAATCAATAGGCTATGTGAAATTTAATTTTTGTGTTAAAATTTAAAAATAATTTAGTTTACCCTCTCAAGATTGTGATATAATATGTTTAAACCAGGAAATTACGTAATTTTTAGTTACTAATAAAATTTAAAATTTTATCCCACCCACCCACACATGATATCCTATTAGCCAATCAAATTTTATATAATATTTTTTAATAATTAAGCTTTGTTCGGGCTTATTATTTTGTACATTATCATTTTGGTGGTTGTTAAGATAATTTTACTTTTATATTTTTTCTAAAAATCAGTAAAGAAAACTTTATGAATATAGTTTTCTTCTTTGATTTCGGGCATATAATCATTAAAATCTTGATTATTCTTATTAAGATATTTATAACTGTATCGAGTTTTTTTCTTCTATAGTTTTGTTTTTTCTACCTTTTGAAGTTTCATATCTTATATAATTAAATACTTGTATAAATATTCCTTTTTTATCATAAAGAGAACAAGAAGCAAAAATCAAAAAAAAACATCAAAGATCTATATTTATCACTTGCATAAATTTTTGAATAGAAAAGTGCATCTTTAAAGTAAATTGGAATTTTTGAAATATAGATTAAATTTAAGTCGAAAATTGATTTTGTCTAATAGTAATCGTTACTTGATAGTAACGCCATGTTTAGCATTTGAATTAAAGGTGTGTAAAGTAGAAAAAAGGGATAAAGAATTGACTACCAAGAAAAACGGTTATTAATATTTTTCCGATAGTTTGGCTTTGATTTAAAGAATAGTATAATAATGTAAGTATTACCACAAGTAATATCTCTAGAGCGCATATGACTCCACTTTAAAAATAAAAGAGAAAACAGATATCCGAAATCACGTAAGCTATTCCTACTGTATGCACAAATATTCCTGAATTAACAACAAATGAAGTAAGCCAAAAAAGTCTTATCAGTGTTATACCAACTGTGGTAATACAAGCTGCTATTCCATAAAGTATGATGATCCAATTCGGAATTTCGTATGTTTCTTTATTTTTGAGCATTACTGCGATTGGTAAGATGTAAATTGATGATAAAAATAAGATCTAATCAAGGAAGAGTTTAATCTTGAACCATTGAGCATTATATATGTTTTCAGGATTTAACGTAAAGAAAGAAGTGATTATTAATAAAACAAGTATGTCAATTGTTTGATTGAAAATGACATCTTTTGGATCGTAATCGTCGGCGTATGCTTAAACGAAGAAGGAATAGCATAATAACACGCAAAAGTAATAAGTAACAGGTTTCATTTTAAAGGATGTATGAAGGGAATGGTAATCTTATGTTTTTTTTTATTATTATTTTTATTTATTTATTATTTATTTTTTATTTTGTGTTTGCAGGTATAATTTACAAAAATTAAAAAATACAAATTCCTGAATTAACTTATTTTTGGACTAATTTACCAATATTCATCTTAATTTTGAGAAAAAAAGGTAAAAATTCTTGCAGGAATGTTATTTTTGATTCTATTTTCTAACAACCTTTAGCTGCTTTAAAAGAATTCTGAATTCTTAAATTTTGATCATCTATTGTATCTAATTAAGGAGGTCAATCAAAATAAAGATTTTGACAATTCATTTAACTTAATTTAACTTACCACATATAATCGAAGTACTGCTTTTCAGCATGAGAGGAAGCACTACACATGCCAAATTATTACATAGAATAATAGACTATGTATCTTCTTGGGCACATAGAGCAAAATTCTTCTCTATACAAGCTTGATCACCAACTTTACAAGGAGTATTCCTGGTAAAATCTTTAAATTTTTTTTGAAGCACTTGAAAATCCAGTGCATTCTTTTTGCAGAAGCATTGATTATTATCAGATATAGCTATGCTAACAAAAAAAATGATAACAATAAAAAGGTCAACAAATTGCATTTTTTTTAAAAAAAAAATTATTAAATGAGAAAAAAAAATTTTATTTGCGATTGTCCATTCATCAAGTTTTTATTTTAAATAGTTTCATTCTTGTAAGTATTAATACAAAATAAATAATTTTTTTAAATTAAATCACAACATATGATTTTTGAATTATTTCAATCTATAAATTTAATACCGTATTTGCATGTAATAACATGCATCTGCACGTTATTTCGAAGCCCTGCGCGTTATTTCGGGACGCACATGTGCGATATTTTGAGTCATTTTGACAAATTTTGGTTACTCATATTTATATAGTCAATATATAGTATATAAATATATTAAGGGGGGCGCATTATTTCAGGACGCACATGGGCATTATTTTTTTTCAAATAAACATTTTTTGAAAAAAATAGCTGTTTCGAAATAATGCCCATGTGCGTTATTACGTGCAAATATGGTAAGCAAAAAATTTTAATCAAAATTATAAGAACAAATTGGCTTCGATTCTTTCAAGTTATCTAAAAGTTGACAAAATGTGTCAATTAAATTTTTTTTTTTTTTAAAAAAAAAAAATACTCATCACTATCTTCGGAAACTTCGGTCTAAAAATAGCGATGTGATTTCTGAAGATTTAAATGATTCATAAGACGATACCAAAATGTTTCAGAAAACGAGCAAATTTTTCAAGTGTCCCATTAGAGTTACTGTAATTTTCAAATCAGTTGGAAAGAAAAAACATCCTATATACTCTTAAATTATTTGTTTGTTAATAAGAGTGAGAGATTATTACTATTCGAGATAACAATCGAATTATTTGTGTAGGCCATCTTTTAATCATGTAAATAATCTGATCCGACTATGTGCTTAGCAAAATCAAACTTTTGTTTGACACTCAAATACATGTGATACTATATATTGCTGTATTGATTTAAAAGTGAGTGTCAAACAAAAGTTTGATTTTGTTGAGCACTAGATCTGACTATATTTATTTTGATTGAATGATGTAATTAATTTTACATAACGATAAGTCAATCACGATTCCTAACAGGAATTAGCTTTATTGTTTAAACAATAAAATTTGATCACTGGGAATATTTCTAATTAGAACTTAGTTCAATATTACAGATATCCATCACTGACTAACAACTATACCTAAATATTTATCAAATTAATTTTCAGAATAACTACGCAAGTTATTATTACTAATCAAACATATATTTATAAAGACAAGAGTCTATCATCAATATCTTTTCAGAATTATTTCAATTACTTTTGATGATGGTTCATGAATTTAAAAAAATTGTAAACATAATTAATAAGTTTATTTCTATTAAAGGAATTTACGAACTTGAATCTAAGACCTTTCTTTCCTTAAGAAAATTAGTTGCTCGCTGGAAAAAGCTCACTCCACAAAATAGTTTTATGATTTTTCAAGTAGATTTTACTACATGGATTTCTTCGGATCAAGAAAATAGTGATATGGAAAAAACTAACAATATTACTAGTGCACTATGGCAAGGTACGCTTACTGAGTTCAAATTATCGAAAACCATTAGTGTTTATGAAATAGAAACTATTTATAATAAAGTGGCAGAAATTGCAAAAAAGGTTCATAAAAATTTACACAAATATTGTTCAAAGAGATTAAATACATCTCAAAATATAAAATATAATAATTGTCTATCTTGTAATTTACCTTATAATAATTATGTAACTTATGTACTGGTACCTAATTATTCTTATATAATGGTACCACAGTTACCACAGGTACCTAATTATTATTATTCTTATTCTTATTATTCTGAACCTTATTATTCTGAACCTTATATACCTTATTATTATGTACCTTATTATGGTTTCATTTACAATTATACACCTTTTAGTTATACAACTTACTAATGTTACTGTACACCATACAATCAAATAAAATATTATTCAATAATTTTATCTTAAATCTTAATGATGCTTTTATTTATATTAAAAGTGTCTGGTTACTTAGCATTTACTATTAGTCCCGCTTTATGCTAAAGCAGGTCAGATTAGAGTGCCAGCAAGGGAAAACCTCAAACAATAATAAAATATATTCTCCCGATTCGAGTTTTTACTTGCCAGCACTTAATCATTATTTTCTTGATGTTCTCTAAATGCACGTAGTTAAGATAAGTCTTAAAAGCGTGCATTTTATACTGTTTTTTTGTTAACCACTAATTCTTATTAATCTTTATTATTTAGGAGTAGATTCTTATAATACATGAGTTAACTTTAGAATTAATGTTAGGGTTATATTAGACTTTAAGTAATTATATATATGCTAAATTGTCCTCCCGACATTTTTGATCATACTACCATTGTTTTCACATTTTGTTTTGCTTTGATCTTTAAATGAATGAATTGTCCTGTTGTGACAATGAAGATTACTGGCAGTTGAAAAGAGTCGACCACAAACTTCAATTGGACATTTAAATGCTGAATAAGATATGAAAAATCGATATAAATGTTACAATGTTTTTTTATTCATTTTTATTTTTTATTTTTTACTTACGTTTCTCACTAGTATGACTATAAGTATAGATTTTCAAAGAACTTGGGCAGTCAAAATTTTTTTGGCAAACATTACATGTATATGTTTTTGTCATTGTTGAAGTAAATAAACTATTTTTTAAAAAATAGTTATTTATCAATGTAAATAAATAGGAAAAAATCAATAAACTTTCAAGTCATGTGCATCATGAACATACGTACGTACAGTAATATAAAATTAATCTTGACTTTCGATACGTAGTCTATCACTAATTGAAATAGTAAGCTAACTACAAGGGTTATTATTTAGCCAAAATTATAGTCAACTTAAATAGAAAAGGACACGTCAATTACAACCATGTTAATATAAAAAGATAGATACGTACGTACGTACGTAATTATTCTATAAATACAGAAAACTAAATAGCGCCATATCAGTCAGGGAAGATGTCACATGTTCACATATATGAGTGTTTGATCATAGTAAAAATGTAGATCACATTTCGGAAATTTACTATGAAATTTTTAGAAAAA